AGTTGACTGAAGGAACTAAATACAACTCGGGAAACACTTAATCACGACAATGTTGTGGGAGTTCCTCGCTGCGCACTTGTTTAGCTTTGCAATGAAGTAAACGATCGAGAAGTTACCCCCTAGTTAAACATAACACTGCACTGCGCTCCACCGAGAACGTCTCTAGAAACATAGCGGCTAAAGCAGAAAGTTTGTGAACCGCGGCGCAGCTGCAGCCTGCACAAGTTTCCGCTAAATGCGAGAGCTTTAATCTCTTTGTGGCAACATTACCGACGTGATAATTTCCCTTATGAGGATTAATCACCGTTGTTGATGAGCAACTGTTTATCGTAGTCTCATTTCATTAATATGCGCCGGTGATTTGATGTCATGACGGCCGACATATTTGGCATCAGTTCATTCAAAACGGGTTAAATTCCTTCTTTTTTTTACACGAATGGGAGATGTGTTCATAATTTTGAAAAATAATCGACGGTAGAAAATGCAAATTGAGAAAACACGTTAAGTCAATAAAATTCGCTCACGGCAAATTAAATTCACCGAAACGAATATTTGTAATTCCTTACACTACAATTTTTTATGTTATTTGTTGGACCGAGTGAAAATTCATTTATAATTGAAAGCTCATACAATCCACATCTTTCACTTGTTCTGTGATGAATATGAACCTCGACACCACGACCACCTTGATAAGAAAACTGCTCAGCTTTTCTTGATTGGCATCCACCGAGGGACCATCATGCTTTATTTATTTTAGAAAATTTCAATACAGCTCAAAATTTCAATACAACTGATGCCGTTGGCTGCAGATAATGAAAATTATTATGTTTCTTTTAGAGGCGTTATTGAAGTTCTCGTGTTTCCTACCATCAAAAGAAACATGCTGAAACAACTATTTATAATTGGTCACAACTAGTGACCAGTCATCAGAGTAAATTTAAAACTGGATGCTCTATTGTATTCATGTATTTATATTTGTTGCTCATTAAGAGGGCGATTGCCCACTCTTTTATAAGTTTTATTACTTAAGACAAAATTGACTATCATATGTTGCATAAATAACGTATATAAGTCTTTCTGGTTACAATATGATTGCAATACGCACTCCAATTCTATTCAATAAAGAAAGCTGATAAAGTGTTGTTGTAAGCCACTTCACGTTCATTTTCTCGAGCCTGAGTTCGCTCGCGTTTATGTAATGAAGTTTTGATTTATTTCTTTTAAGAAGCTCTGAGAATGTAATTCAATTAATCATTCTGTTTGGAATAAAAGAAGCAAAGCAAGAGCTGCTTTGTCAGCAGACGCGGTTACTGACGATGTCAATGGCTCAAAATTGCAACGCAATCTCTGAACAAAATTTGAGAGGAGATTTGAGGTACAGTTCTGACGAAAGTGTGAAGAAATAATTTTTTATCATAGAGATTCGCTCATTTTTTTGTTGGATTCATGAGACGTATGAGCTTCAAGCGTGCGAGGAGGTAAGGCCTGAACAGTAGGTGATACGAGTGTGATGTGATTTGCGATCACATTCAATCAATTCACACATGCGAAACTCATGCTGAAATTTTTCATGCAAAAAACAAAATACGGACTATAAAATTCCTCCATAATAAGCTGAATTTACCCATTATTAATTATTGCACTGATATCATCAAATATATTCTATTTCGTAACCTAAGATGAAAAGTTTGGTGAGAAATGATCATAAATATAATCAAAGGACATCTCATAGAAGGATACTTAAATCCTGGTAGTTTTATCCGTGGATTTAAAAAGCACTGATTTTCATGAAAATTGGTAAATCTACGATTTCGTCAGGGACGAGCTTTCAAAAGATGCCCATATACTTAACTCAATAAGTCGTCTGTATATGACGGTGTTAGGGAAAATACCGAATTCCTGTGGTCCAAACCGCAGTCTGCTGCAGGCTGTGGCGCGGGACGGTTGACGACGCTCCACACATTCACTCTCACAGGATAGTTATCCTCGCCAGGCGCTCCTCTTCGTAATACTGTCCTGATTTTCTAATTATAAGAGTTATTTTTTTACGTGAGCCGAGTTGATATTGCAATATTCGTTTATTTTTATACTAAAAATAATTTGAATACAGTGCAAATTGAATTCTCTGATTGGCTATTTCGGAAAAAAAATATTTGTTCTCAGATTACGTGCAAGTAAGTATTTGCTTTGTCATCCTCCGTGGCCTAAACATTATTCTGTAGTCATTGAATATTCAGTGTCTCAGGTAATATCTTGCATTCGGTGTTGCGTAAAAGACGGTCGAGATTCGCTGTGATATGGAATGGAATGGTGAAATCGTTTCTGTTTGAAAATTATGTTACATTCATATCCTATTATTACTAGTCTGACATTCGAATTGAAATATTAATAGCCAAAGACTGCAAAATACAGATCTTTTGTGATATTGCAGGAGAAAAGTTAGAAAGAATTAATGATAATTTTTCAAACAATCGTCAAGTCTTTAATATAATTTTCCGGAAATCTGTGGTAAGGTTTGCTCTACTTCTAGAATATTTACTTATAGCATCAAGCGAATAAAGTTATTGATCCTGATCCTCAATATACGTTAAAATTTTCAGCCAGTACTGGTGACATTTTATTTACACCAGAATAAAAAAATGAAATCTTTTCAATGTAAACGCGCAGTATGCCTAGCTTATCAGTTTTGAAATTGTATCAAAAATTATCATTTACTATATTACTAGCAATAATCGGCTGATGTCCGCAATCGAAATCGAAGCAAATTAAATGTTCATAGCTGACCTTCGGAGTCTTATGATGAAGTCTAGTCTTGACCTTTAGAGTGATGGAAAATTAAATCCAGTAACAACCTTTGTGTGCGTTCACTGAGTTAGGCGATGGGGTTTTGATGTCAAAGATTTGTGTGTAGTTGACTAACACTCGAGTAGCCTATGAGTGATATTAAAATCATTTGGTTTGATTTGAAAAATATCTATTGAGATACATAAATGTAATTAATTATATCTCTACATCAAAACAAGATTAACTCATGTAAACTAGGTAAACCAGGTAAATTAAGCAATGCAATATATAAAAGATGCATCATTTCGTCAGAGCAATATTTTCGTATTGGAAAAAATCTCGCTCACGACTCAAAGTCACTGTTCAAATAATGGCCTTAATTTACTGCTAGGTATGTGATAATCTTTTCTAGTCAAAGTACTCTAGTGAGGCTCATGAATTCTGAGGGAAAAAACAAAATTTAGAATATTGCACTCAAAAAATAAATTTAAATGATTCTATAGTCTTCAGTTATTAGTTTTAATTAAACGAAAACAAGTCCAACTAAGGTGCTGTATTTTCACTGTGTTTTTGTCAAACTTCATAATGTATTAAACTGCTGTTGCTAATCTTCGCAGCATTTTCCGTATTTGGCAAGTATTTTTTTTTAAATCAACATGAAAAGCTTTTTTCGTATATAGCTTTTCTCGTATATTTCGTATTTTCACCTGAAGATCTATAATTATACTCTAACCTACCATAAATTTATTAACAAAGTTCAAAATTCATCTCAATCAGGCTCACTTACTGGACTATTCAAACTGAAATAAATTTATATATACCAAACGTTCTGTATTCATTAAACATATTTTCAATGAACCACGAATTGTTTCTTTAGTCCCAAAGAAAACCTCCATACAGACTTTGGCGCCAGATTAATCTACGAAAAGAATCTCGAGCTTTGATAGAAGGCCTTGCATTTTTGATGCGCGTGTCTTGATTTTACGAGGCAGCGATAGGATCGGCCGCGCCCGCGGGTGACCTATCACGAAAAAAAAATTCGGGAAGCGAACGGCGCTGAAATGAGGGAACGCGCGGCCGGGCTTCAACGCCTCCGGCGAGCGCCGCCTGAGCTAACGGGTTGGATTTAAGAAGAGGCCGCAGGAGTGGAGGCATGGTTGAACTAGTATAAGGTTGACCCATCAGAAGCCCATTTTTGCGGATGTAGTTCGTTGTTCGCCAGTGAAGTTACTGATCTCAGTGACGTCACGGGCCTTAACCAATCACCGAAATGCGATCAAACCAGTCAACCATTCCGTCAAGAGAATATAGGGTTTGTTTACATTTCTCGATCTCAGTGACGTAACAAGAAAGTGTAGTTCGTTGTTCGCCAGTGAAGTTACTGATCTCAGTGACGTCACGGGCCTTAACCAATCACCGAAATGCGATCAAACCAGTCAACCAATCCGTCATGGGAATGACGAGATTGTTGACGTTTCTCGATCTCAGTGACGTAGCGTGAAAGCTGAACTGAAAGACGGAACTTCTCGTGGGTCAACCTTATATAGTTCAACCATGAGTGGAGGCCTAGCATGAGACTCCAAGCCATGCGCGATGAAGTCTGCTGGAAATTACTACATTAATTAACGGTATACCTACTGATGAACAAAACGGCAACGTTACACGTCTAATTAAAAAGATTGAGTTAACACCAGTTGAAACTTCATGACGTTTATGATTTCGGTTCAGTGTGAAGATTGTTGAAGCTTGTAATCTTGTGGTCGTCTACGGAAAGTCTAAGTTAAGCTAAGAAGCGAAAATATTACCAGAATAAAATAAATTGAGCCTTCAAAAAGGTGTCGGTGAGAACAGTAAATAATCTCTAACTGGGATTTTACTTCTCTCTCGAAGATTGTGCTTGACGATTTTACACCAACTTAATAATAAATGTGACAATGTCAATGAAATGATTCATTTCGTTTTAAAATTAGATATTTTATTCTTTGTTTTATTGTTTACAGCTTAGTAATTTCTATCAGAAAATCCTTTATCATAGTGAAATCAAAAGAATTGTGAAGATCTAACTGTTTCTGAGAAACATAATGCAAATTGAATCAAATCAGTTGAGGGCTCTTTCTCTACAGAATATTTTGCGCCTCACAAATGCCCATATTGAAATTCAGTGAGTTGCAAAGGTTGCAGGAAATTTGAATAACTCGTCGTCGGGGCTTGCAAGAATGCAGCTACACGCGGCGGCCCTGACATTGTGGCTGATGTACATCTGCGCTTCAGGTGAGAAATGTGGTTTCATTATATTTTTTAGTTCAAGAAATGCATTATATATATAATAATAGAATGATTTTAAGGTACTTGAATATTAGAGAATATATCTTGAAATATACCCTGAAGTCAATCAATTTTTATTGAGTTTTCGCCTAGATTTGCTTTCTGGCTTTTTCTTCATTAAAAGATTATACATCTGTAGCAAACAGAGTTGATGATGTGGCTTTTAGCATCATGGTGGATGTACGTACGTGGATTGCACGAAGACTCTTTATGGTAAATCACTGTTAATGATGCTTGTTCAAGAAATATAAAGCTACTAGTATAACATGAATAGGTTATTATAATTCATAAATTGTAAATTCAATTGTTTATAATTGTTACTTCTACCTAATAATAAATAAACGAGATTTACATATATGCTTTAGGTGCCATCAATACATCCATGTTTTTTATTGTGCCTATGTGTTTCTAGATGAGATGCGAGTCGCCCTTTCTTGAGCCACCACTCAATAATTAATTTAAATTAATTTACACTCTTTGTTTCAAATATCTGGCGTTATTTGCAAGTAAAAATAGTAGGCATGGAATTAATTAAACCCTGTACAAGGAGAACGACACCTTGTCTGGCGCAAATCTCGTATATACGCTACAAGAGGAGACAAGGGTTCCTTCAACGCCGAGAAAGAAAAGCGTCAGTTATTGTCAAGGCGAATTAATGTGATGGAAGCATTTACCTTTAATGAAGCTTCGAAGATGTCGTTGTAATGCATCAAAGGCCGCGCTCAAGTGAAGCCTGTCAATGTTCTATGAAAGAAAAATAATTGAAAATTATCTACCTTCAAAGGAAGGAGGCCGTAATAACTTCTTACTCCTGTGCCTTGAGGCTCTGAACAGTGTTACCAGATTCTCGAGATTCTACCGACAGTTTCAGAATTTGTAATGAATATCAACGTGTTAGACCCATCTTTTGACCGAAATTCAAAGTGTCTAATTCGTTAATTAAATTACGAGGTTTCGGTCGACAGATTCATCATTCCTTTTTTTATCTTGTTCGTAATTTTAATATCTTTTCCATGAATAAATCAATTGATATATCGTGGTTCACTTTCCATTCACAGGCTCCCATCACATCTATGCATATCAGTCAATAAATTCCCAGTGATTGTTCAGAAAATTATAATTATTATTATTATGCATTTAAAATATTTGATTTTTTTCTTGAGATCACCCGTCAAGACGTAGTTTCCTTGTGATCTTATTTCATTTCATTTAAATCCCAGACAGTATTCATGAGCGTTAATGTTCCATTTCATCTCAGACTTTATTCTCCGTTGTTACTCTACCCACGCCGCAGTTGAGGCGGGGACTTCATCAGGAGATGAAGTTGGTCCTCGGTTCGTGTCACGTCCTGGTAACATAACCGTCGCAGAGGGTCGTAGTGCACGCCTCGTCTGCGCTGTCGATGCACTTGGTAACTTCAAGGTAAGTTCGTCGGGAATTAAATAGATCCAGGTAATGATAAGGCATGTACCATGTGATGAGGAGATATTTGCCGAATAAATTGTCTCAGGAACTTCTTATTTTAATGAAGCTTTTCGTTTTCTTTAATGGTGGTTCTAATTTAGCACATTACGATTTCTGCTCAGATGGCGTGGATCCACAAAGGCACTACGAGGCGCGCTGTTTTAGCAACAGGATCTCAGGTCGTCACCAAGAATCCGCGCATTTCAGTCACGAGGGAAGGACAAACTTTTGTGCTGAACATCGACGGCGTCACCGAGAAGGACGAGGGTGACTACCTTTGTCAGCTCAACACCAAGCCAACCCTCACGCACACTCTAGGGCTCAATGTGGTCGGTGAGTAGCATTTGAATTATATTGCTCAATGTTGTCGGTGAGCAGCAGTCGAATTCTCATGTTCAATGTGCTTGATGAGTAGTAGTGTAATTCTTGTGTTCAATGTGGTCGGTTAGTAACAGTCAAATTTTGATGTTCAATGTGGTCGGTGAGTAACAGTCGAAACATGGTGCTTAATGTGGTCGGTGAGTAACAGTCAAATTCTGGTGCTCAATGTGGTCGGTGAGTAACAGTCGAAACATGGTGCTTAATGTGGTTCTTGAATGGCTGTCGATCTATTGCACTCGTTGAGGGTGGTGAGTAGCCGTTATATTTTCGTGCTTTATTTGGTTGATAAATAATGGACCAATTCTGGTGCACAAGGTTTCGGTGAACGGCAGTGGACTTTTGGTGATCAATGTAGTTGGTAACAATCAATTCCTGTTACTCAATCCTTCTGGAAATCGTAGTCGTAGTGCTGCTTAATTTGATCAATCATGGTGTTAATTTTATTGGCCTGTTGTGGCCAAACCTCGGGCTCAATCTTGTAGGGGCGTAGTGTGAACTGAAGGTTCAATCAGGAATATTTTGGTAGTCCTGGTCGAACGCTGGGGCTCGAAATGGTCGGGATGTGGCGGTCAAACCATACGGTTTGAATACGGTCAGCACTGAACGGTCCGTATGATTGGTGAAAAATTCATGGCGTCGTCCATTTAACAACCTTTGGGGGTCCATAATGTTACTTTCAGATCACTGCCCATCTGCAGCATTGTCATTTATACGTATGGAATTTTCACACTATTGATATGAGACTAATGGATTTTGTCTAAAATTGATAGGATTAGTAAAATCAGTTTTCACGATCTAGAATTTTAATTTCGTGAAATCTTATATTCGTAAAAATATTCCGTGAAAACTTGTATTCATGAAAAAGGAAGTATTCCAAACTTTTATAAGTTTAAAGAAATTAAAATATATTTAGGTTTGTCCTCGCTTCTTGTCAGGTATATAGGCAGCTGAGCATAAAAGTGGATCGTGGCTATATATATGTTTTTGAAGAGGATATGTTTTTGGTAAATATTTGTCTTCATTTGAAAAAAAGTTAACTCGCCTTGGGACAGGACAAAATAAGAACTTAAATAAAATACCAATTTCTAAATTCCCTCTATGCTCTGACGAAGACCAAATAGATAAAAATGATTATTTTCTCGCAAGCTTAAGCATACGCACAAGTCAGCAAAAGCGCACACTCAATAAACCATGTGAGTGTTTGTGCTTTTCTAGTGCCACCTGTGATAGTGGACGTCGGCAGCAGTCGAGACGTCACTGCAGACGAAGGCCAGGACGTGACGCTGACGTGTGACGCACGCGGTCGTCCTCAGCCGTCCATCCGCTGGGTCAGGGAGGACAGCGCAAAAATCTCCAGCGGAGGCAAAGCGGCCGGTGAGACCAAAGATGGCTGGAGGACAGTTATTGCTATTAAATCATTATTGGAGTGAACTTTGGGGACTATTTTCTTATTTTTACCAACATATATTAATTGGTGATTTTCATTACATCTTGTTCTTTTCATGAACTCTTCACAGACGAGTGGGTGGGGCGGGAGCTTCGCCTGGGTCCCCTGCAGCGGAGCTCCGCGGGGGCCTTCCTGTGCATCGCCAGCAACGGCGTCCCGCCCATCGTCAGCAAGCGCGTGCTGCTCAACGTCAACTGTGAGTGTTGCAGCGTCAGCAAGCGTGTGCTGCTCAAAGTTTTCTTTAATAATATCATTAGGTTACTTTTCTTCGGGTTCACTAAATAGATGTTTGTTTACTCACTCCCCTTCACCACTCCCCATGATCTATTCACTGAATAATTCATGCTTCAACCCCATGACCCACCTCTGCCTTCTCCCCAGTCGCCCCCGTGCTGGAGCCCCCCAGCAGCGTGCGCGTGGGCGCCGTGCTGGGGGGCGACGCGCGCTTCTCGTGCAGCTTCTCCGCCCACCCCGCGGCGCGGCTCACGTGGCGCGACGCCGCTGACAGAGTCGTCGCCGAGTCCCCGAGGGTGGCCGTGGTTAATGAGGAACTGCAGGTGAGTACAATAATTTAGTTGTATATATGGTGTTATGTTGTACTTATATTTGTTGCGCTTGTAAAATGAAACATTGCATTGGTAGTTGATGAGTTTGATAAGGCCGTTGTCAACGAAGAACTGCAGATAAAGGCAATAATTTAGTTGGGCATACAGTGTAATGTCTTACTTATATTTGTGACGGTAGTAAAATGAAACATTACATTGGCAGTTACTCAGTCTGCCAAGGCCGTTGTCAACGAGGAACTGCTGGTAAGGACAGCAGTTTAGTCAGACGCATGGTGTAATATTTTACTTATATATATGACAGACGCAAAATTACACTTTGCATTGGCAGTTGCTGAGTCTGCTAATGCCGTTGTCAACGAGGAACTGCAGGTTATGACAACAATTCTGTTGGACGCAGGGTGTAATATCGTATTCAAATTTGTGACAGGCGTAGAAATGAAAACTTTGATTTATTGATTTGATTTTAATGCACTGTTTTAGACCGTGTTGATCCTCATTTAAAATGCAGTCTATAAGCTAAAAAAAAACACATAATTCTAACTCGGAATATTACCAAAGATTTACAGCAAATTTACGCTGTAATTTCTGCTTTAAAATGCATTTATAGATATGTTAAAAAAATAAATAATTGTGCTGATTTGTTGACAAATAATGTGACGTTGGTTTAGCCGTTCCTGTGGTCCTAATATAAAATGCTGATTATAAGGTGAAAAAAACACACAAAATTTAAACTCGGAATGTTACCAAAGATTTATCAGCGAATTTACGCGGGTATTTCTTTTAATAATATACGTTTAAAAATTACTTTTTAAAGACAACACTTCTAAAGAATCCAGTGTCTCCAATGTTAAAGATGTACAATGAATTTCTCATTTTATTTTCGAAAATTAAAAAAATTAATTTTTCAAAATTTTTTAATATATAAAATTTTTTCAAAATTATTTATTCTGTCAATTGATTCACGCATTGCCTCTGACTTCACACAAGTATGCAAAATTTCAGATCAATTGGACAGGTGGAAGTGTGTCAAATATCATTTATAAGATTTGTAGCTGACAAAATTATTTTGTCAATTTTATTTAATATTGAAATTTTTTTTTTAATTTTCAAAATTATTTATTCTGTCAATTGATTCATGTATTGTCTCCAACTTTACTCAAGTGTGCAAAATTTCAGATCGATTGGACAGGTAGAAGTGTGTTAAATATAGATTAAACGATTTGTAGCTGACAAAATTATTTTGTCAATTTTTTTAATATTGAAAAAAATTTAATTTTCAAAATTATTTATTTTATCAATTGATTCATGCATTGTATCCAACTTTACGCAAGTGTGCAAAATTTCAGATCGATTGGACAGGTAGAAGTGTGTTAAATATCGATTATAAGATTTGTAGCAGACAGACAAACAAACAAACAAACAAACAACAAGAAGTGAAGTTAAAGAGAAGTGTTGTAACAAATACATTCATAGATATACAAATTGTACAAAAAATACAAAATTGTACAGATTTGTTGATGTATATTGTGCCGTTGGTTCAGCCGCAGCGGTGGCGCAGCTCGCTGCTGTTGCGCGCCGTCACGAGCGCAGACTTCGGAGGCTTCAAGTGCGAGGCGCGCAACGCCAGGGGCAGCGATGCGCTCTCCTTCACGCTCTTCGGTGAGCACATCTGCGTTGTGCTCGGCAATGGGCATAAATAATAGAAATAGTGAAAATAATAATATTTAAGATCAGTATTTTAATGGAAATTAAGTATCAAAAAGTATCGATGCATACATATGGGTTAATACGTTGTTCCTAGGCATTTTTTTCGCCGTCTTTTCATATATATTTATGAAAATTTTATGTCGTTTCGGAAAAGAAATGACGACCACGACACCTCCGACAACCATCACCACTACAGCAGGCTGGACCTCACCACCACCTTCATCACAATTGCCCGCCATCACTACCACCTGGTGGCCCACCTCTTCCCCACCCCCCTTCATCCCTTGGTGGGGTCCCAGCACACTTGGTGAGTCTCTTAATGTGTGATCTAATGTTAATTATACAATGAACTAGTCCATCTAGATTTTAAGAGATCATCATTAATATTAACATTTAATAATGATTGATTTCATAATAATTGATAATAGTTAGACACGTGAATACATTTTATAAATCCTGATAACAATAAAAAAAGTGATGGTGGGAATAGTGTTTTCCCCACCCCTAGACCCCTCTGCCCCCGCGCCAGGCGCTGGAGCGGCGCCCAGTCCACGCAAACACACGGGCCAGTATTTCCAAGGTACTGCAGTATGATGTGCTTACCATACATCTTGTTTATGAGACGCTGTCAATATAAGTGTCATCACAATTATTATCGTATACTGACATTCAGATCTTCATCTATTTATTTATTCAGCTTGTGCGTTTTTTTTCGATGTCCAGAAATGCATTTATTATTTTTGATCAGGTGCTCCGCATTACCGGATGCTAGGTTGTCTTGAACAGGAACTTTTACATTATTTTGTAATCTCGAGCGTATTCATGTAAAAAACGTAAAAAACTAATTTCACCTTGCAATACTGTCACTGATCCAATAAAAAATTACAACACTGAATTTTAATCCATTGCATTTGTTTGGAGGTAGCACGTGCATATTCAACAGCTGATTTTTTTATATTTCTGTAAATTTATTAAGCTAATTAGCTATAACATTAAATGCCTAATGTGGAAACTGTCACGTGATGCCGACAGGAGGCAGCGTTTCAGCAGGCCCTCGCCCCCGGCCACCTCAATGGTTCCTGCTCATCGATTTGCTCGTAGTGAAGACGATATTGTTCCTCGCCAACCATTTTATGAACGGACAAGCATAAAAATCAATATAATTGATTTTGAATAATTAAAATGTTATAATTAGGGTATTTTGAACATTGAGTTGTCTCGAGGTAGTGTAAGCCATTGTAAATATATGTGATTGAATTGCTCAGATGGGTTTTTGTAGAACAATCATTCTAAAGGAGTACAAACTTGTTGTAAACATGTTATCTGATGTTATCAACTCAGATGTCGGCAAAAAACGATGACATAAGTTCATTGAATGTTGTGTTAAGTTCAAATATGAAGATTTAATTCTAATTTTCAAAAATAGTTTGTTCAATAAAATAATTGGAGATATTCAGCATATTCAACACCTTGACCTTTTTGAGTAGAATGTGCCAAAGTATCAAACATGTGCTACATGTAACATTACATTATTGTTAATGCTTTATCATATCATAATCAAGCTTTCAATCGTATCGTTCATTGTACAATGCATCCTAAACGTAGTAATTACAAAATGTAAGCGTTTAAGGTCATTTCGAGCGACAGTGCAAAATATCTACCACTGTGACCATCTATAAGCACATATCACGCCGGACTACATGACTGTTACTCTAGTGTTCTTGTAATGCTGCTACTGTTAATATTAATAAATTTTGGAAGTAAAGTGTTTTTTTTGTTGTCTACACGAAAGTTGTTGAAAAATATAACTCAGTACTCACTGCAGTGAGTGACAGAGAGCGCATTTTCTCAAAATCAACTAAAACGTGAAGTCACGGACAGATCGACGGACGGACGGACGGACGGACATGACGAGCACAATAGGGCATTTTTTCCATAAATGAGAAAATGCGCTAAAAATGCTCCGAATGCTTCTGAAAGACTTCCATATGAAATATGAAGGTTTTATGGGAGAAAAACTTGGCGACCGGACGTAATGAATGCGGGGATGTACAAAATTGGGCGGAGATATACGTGGGGATGTACAAAATCGAATTGATGCGATTTTGAGCTCCGTAAATTACGATGAATGTTGGGACGTTTGACTTGATGCAATGTATTGATGAGATCGGTATTTGACCATCTGATGCTATTTTCATCTTCTTAAAAACTGATAAGCTTTCTTTCGGTAATAATATATTTCTTCTAATCTTACAGATAAATTTTGAGACCTTTTCAGCAGAACAAAAAATCGTGCTCGGATCTTTCTCATGAAAAACTTGAAAGCTGAAGTCTCCAAACATCTTTGCAAAGTATTGGCCTGTGCAAGGATCAATAAGCTTTTCAAGAGGCTGAACAATGGGTAAAAAATATTCTTTGGTACTTGATGAAATAGGTGTACATGTGCCTAGATAATGCTCGACTTATATTTTCTATACTCGACATGTATTTTTCCAAAAATTATGACATTGCCGCCCGTTACAATGAATTTTGTCGTACCTGTATCATTTGAAGAGGATATGCAGATGAGACTGAAATATCGGTAAATATTAATTGTTTGAAAAATTCACAGTAGGAAGAAACAAGATTCGCTGGAAGCCTACCATGCTATACGATATGTTTTGCTGAGAGCCTTGAATGATTTTCAGCTATTCATGTTTGAGGCACATTCATTACTATTTCGAGAGAATGACATTCAACATTGCGGTAAAATTGCTGAATCCTATATTAGTATTTCCGAATCCATTGCAACTGCAGTCAACTCCATGAACAAAGGGAAAATGTACACGCGTTGATGAAAACTAGATTCTCTTTTTTGTTCTATGACAATAAATAGTTTTGATTCTGTCCAGATTGGTAGGGCAACATGGGGCAGCGCCCCCCCCCCCCTTTTTAAACTAAATTTTTGACGAAGTTTTAATTGATACGAGGTGGTTCTTTGTTTTGTTTAAAGGTACAACTAATGAGTAATGTATGATGTGAATTAGTCGCCTATAGATTTTTCAATTTGTAATGAAACAGTATTTTGTAAAAAGTGTCAAAATGGGCCCATGGCCCAACCTGTGGGGCAATGGGCCCATGGGATTGGGACAAGGCGCCCACCCTTGGTCCCTTTACCACAATTGCATATTTTTCGTTTAAAAAATGATGAAACAGCACTTTACAGGTAAAAATACGAAAAATGTGATAAAAAATATGACATTCATTCATTTATAAACAACTCAAAAAATCTTATCCTTAACTTGAGAAAAAATCTTGGCTTAAAAAATCTATCACTGACGTGAAGAAAAATATTTCATTGGCATAAAAATATGTATCCTTGACTTGAAAAATATATCCTTGCGATAAAAAATTCGTCCGTGACATGAAAAAAATGTATCCTTGACTAGAAAACATATATTTAGTTGATCAGAAAAAACTTCGTTCCAATTTCGTCCATAATTCAGATATTATGTGCAGAGAATTCCTACATAATCGTTATTTCTGCCATTGGTGTTGATTGACTGAAATCAACTTTTGACAAGGCAAGAGTCAATAACCCGAGAAGGGGTCATATATACGCATAACTAGAAACTAAACCTGCTGCCTTGAGGCGGCAAAATAAAAAAGTCATGCAATATGAAGTGTAATTTGTAATTCAAAAAGCCAGTCATAGTTTTGAAAAGGGCATTGAGACAAATCTAATGATGTATAACACAAGACTTCACCGTGGGCGCTTTGCCCCGTGACACCTGTGGGCCCGTTGCCCCCACTAGGTATCATTTCAATTTATATCGTGACAACATTTTATTTTAAAAAGCTAATAGTCTAAACTTGATCTATAAATAATCCCTATAAATATTACTTTCAAAATATAATTCACAGTAATTTCAAAAGCTTCACCTACAGTAATCGAAACCAGTTTTAATTAGCAGCAAAAAATTTCATCTTGGCTAAAACAGTTAATCACAAATAACTTAATAACGCAAGCACTTAGCAAAACGTAAATCCGTACACTTCATCCCAGTGAAACTGTCGACCGGCGGTAGAGAACACGGACCAATATCAGCCATACTTAGCGAGAAACCCGCTATGGGCCCATGACCCGCGGTGGGCTCGCTGCCCCATGTTACCCTACTAAATTATAAGTTATTATTATAACTTCATTCTCCATATAAAACCCATTCTGTAAGGTTTTAGTAACAGAAACTGTTTCACAGCAAACTGAAATGTTCTGTTCGCAGGCCTGCTTGTTGATTTTATAGGTGACTCAAGTTGATAAAATATTTGAATTCAACGCCTTCATATCAAACTGAAAGAAGCAGTGACAATGGATATCATTTATATATACATATATTTTCTATATGATTTAAGCTGTAATAAAAATTAAGCGGAGAAGCCAAAGACTTCAATAAAATATGTACGGCTCGCGGATTGGCTGTGCTTATATTCTGGGTATCAATGCTGATTGAATCCGCAGCTCAACAGGGGATTGCATCCTTCCAAAAAGTCGCTTTTGGTCCGCGATTCGTGAATTTTCTTAAACTATGCTGAAAAGTAGGGTACGTATTATGCAGATCATGCTATAGATACTGTATCCGCAACTATATTTTTTAGACGCTCCTGTTTATTTAACCAATTCGTTTCCTGCTTAATCCAATAACTTTAACATGACAAAAAATATTAACTGTGCCCGACTGTCTCTTATCACAAGAAACACATCAGCCTGCACGCGAAGATCGTCTGTAATATGCATCAGGCTCTTGTTCTGAAGCCAGTATCGTCTTATGCAAACGAATTCGTTCAAATGTAACAACTTAAGAAATACTACCTCGCGGATGCCACTTTTAAACCTGATGATGTATTAACAGTTAATATTTTTTCATATTGAAATTATTTACACTTATTCAAGTGCCTTAAATCGCTAGTTACCAGTTATTTTGTCGATGGGATATGTAAAAAACTGCAGCTAGCTCGGCTACATAAACAAATATCACAATCTCTTCAGAATACAAGATTGAAGATAGAATAATGTGTTCTTATTTAGGTACAGAGAATCATATAAATCATTCAAATTTCACAGCAGTAATTTATCCCAGTTCAAGATTCAGCTTCGCTAGAATTGCGTTTGGCATGTGCGAAAACATTATGTCAATCATGATTGGATTATTTTCAGCAGTATTTGACAAATGATTTAAACATGCATGTTGCATGTGCGTCTGAACTTATAGCATTAGCCGATATTAAAGGCAGAATCTGAAAATGTAAAATGTTTATGAAATGATGTATTTTTCATGGTTTAAAGTGTTTTAGATACAGTTCTAGGTGCAGTCTGGCGTGTAAGTAATTTAACCTTCACCAAGACCTACCAGGTGACAAACAAGTTAGAAATTACTCGAATCATATCAATTAGAGTCTTACTTTAGCATTTTTCGATTTTGTCTAACAAATTATATATAAACAGACTGGATTATGCATGCTATGCCACAACCATTTATCAACACCTTATCGCATCGTAATTTCCACAGGATGTAAAGAAATCATACCGTGATGAGCGGTGCGATGCCACGTAGCTTTGATCTCACTCCATCCCATCAGTGCGGCTGGACAAAAACAGATATTTACGAAGCATATAATATTTCTAGGGGCAAATGCATCTCTCTTGGAGAGGTAATTAGGCTCTGGTGACACGGCTGACGGGTAATTACCGCTACAAAACATCACGCTCAGCTTGTATGTACGTGATGCCCTCGCCCCATATCTGGCCTCATCTCGCCGTATTTCCATGCTAGTTTATTCATTAACTCTCGAATAATCTCATCGATATTCAGACAGACTGTGGGAGTCCGTGGGAGTAAATTTAATAACAATGCTTTTCATCCTTTATTTCGGACCTGTTAACTTTCGTTTCCGGATTGGACGCCCTATAAAAATATTCGACAAATGACCACAGAAATCGAATGGCTGCAAATGAAGAGAGTTATTTGCTGTTGGTGTTGTAGTTTTGTCATGAGCGGTGCGAGTGTCATTTATCGTTAACAATATATAACAATAACAAATAATTGTTTCATGCAGTTGAAGTGTTGGATGCTCATAAGCCCTCAAGCGAATGTTTTCTTTAAAAGTAATAAATTACTTGAATACTACATCAATTTACCTACTCACTTTACGAA